GATATTTCCTATTTGACTTGAATTTCAGTAGATGGACATCCCAATCTTCCTGACGTATGTTTATTGTCTGTGCTAAACACAAGACTCAATTGAATGAATGTGCGACGGTAAATCGAACAGACATACTCGTAGGTATGGACTTATTCCAAAATCCGGTTTCACATTTTTCAATAATTGAATGAAAAGATGAAATCTTCCTGGGGTGATGACTGATTATACAAGCTATAATAATAAAGCGTGTGAAGAACAACAACAACGTTAGAAATTCCACAGATTCACAAAAATAAAAAGAATCGCCTTCATCATCATATTCCAGGTGAAAAATCATTGTGTGGAGTTATTCTCCTACACTTGTGCATTTTAATTCACTTGCACAAGGAGACTTTTCAACTCTCTCACAGATTCCGATGATAAGTGGTTTTTCGAAGCTTGCTTATCCCGGAAGATTTCTGAATGAAACGCCTTTTGTCTCTCTATTTTGTCCAGTTTTAGATTGTAGATGGTCTAAGTGATTGTGGTCATATTTGGAGTATTGTTACTCAATTCACATTCTCTCTTTTACTGGGCAGCATTTGGGCATCTGTCAGTAAGTTGAGATGTCATTCCCAGTGTCCCTAGACTCTCTCACGTTACATTTAAGAAACATGTATCCTTGTCATAGTCCATCTCACTCAACCGTTAAAGTCGTTTATTTATTAATCCGAAACGCTAACTGACAGACATCACCTACTCTCCGGATTTCTTTCTTTTCGTCTCCTCCTCTCGTGATTCATCGATTTTGACAGTTGTTATGAAGACTATCTCGGGCGACATATGGGCAGTATTTCTGTGTCATCACTCTGGAGGCTTACTGGAATCAGTTTAGCTGCCTCAATTGATAAAAGAGGGCCACCGAGATAAGCTAATCCACACTATACAGATGATTATCTGTCTTTGCCGATGTCTACTCAGTGTACTGAGTAGATTTCAAAATATTTACGGATTTAGATGGTTCACATTCTGTGATTACACTGTGATCAACCCATTTTCATTTTACACTAGACGCCATGGTGAATTTTCCAAACTATAATCCAACATTCTCTTCAGGTAGCTACCGAATTGTTCAAGCGATTTCAGCTTTATTTAGACGAACTTCGACAAAAGACAATCACTTCAGACAGTAGAGGTTGCTAGTTTCTTGATGAATAGAATCTTACCCGTCAACCCAGTTCGACTGAATGAATGCCTAAGTTCATAATTCTAAAATTGAATATCAGAGATTTGTAGCAGTAAATAATTCCCCAATATTATTGGCCACAGCATTCATCAATGAACATTGGATGCTGACCCTCACTGTTTTGGTCAAATTGTTTAGCTGAAGGCTTCCGGTCAAGCATCCGCGCCATTTGGTACTGCGTCGTGTCACGTTCGTTCGTTCGTGAGCGATCCCTAGCTAGCTAAGCAATAATCTCACACTCCGATTTCGTCCCGAAATATATCTCGTAATTTGGACGGTTAACTATTGAGTTTTGCTTTGCCTTTGGTGTCCGCGGAACGAATACTATGGAAGTTGTGGGTATTAGATCTTATGTTAGTATACTTCGCACTAAACGTGAACGTCAATACTGTCAGCATGTAAGGATTCATAGCATTCAACCTGCTTTCTTCCAACAATAAAGTACGATGGCTGTGATTCTAATAATCTTTTACGTCAGAAAACTGGTTTCCCGATTTACGTGAAGAAACATAATTGCATAGGAGTAACCATTGTGAGTTCTTTCCGGACAATTCACTGCTGACATTCACCATTCAATCAAGGTGTTGAGTATTTCTCAACAGATGACTGATGAAGTGGTTCGGGTAACTGAATACGTGAAGAAGAAATGAACGGACTACACATGATGGCTGTAAAGTCATATAAAGAATTCAACAAACATGACAAATTAAATCATGCATTAGACCGCTGTAGATTGATCTTCTGGAACATAGAAGTAACTCTAAGTGGTATATTTTAATTCTTCACAATATACAAATACATAGTATATATTTTCTCCTCAGTGAATATTTACTTGGACAGTGGATTCTATTAGATTTGGCTGCAACATTTGGATTCAAGAGCCTGATAACTCACGCGTATGCAGTGAAACAATGAAATACACCAATTCTAAGTAGTAACCATTTTCATCTCAATACACTGTGTTAGGTGACAACTCACACCTAACTCAAGTGAGTTCTTACGCTAAGTTAACAAAATTCAGCTACATCCCATTTTGGCATATCTTCAGTTGGTTATCATTTCTCTATTCCTGATTGCTTTCTGAGCATAATAACCCACCGCTTATACTAAAATTAGCGTTTTCTATGTCTAACGAAACACGGAATATGAAACAATCCAAAACCGGTACATTTTTCATATTTGGAGTGTACAACTGTTAAATGGTTAGTTAGTGTGACAGTCACGAAGAATACCATTCCAGACACAAATACAAGAACAAAAGGTTCAGGGAAGAGTCGCTTTTCGCCAAATTCATTCACTTAGCTGTACAATTGCATTTGTATGCAATTATCTCGTGTGTGTGTGTGTGTAGGTCAGGATGGTCAAACAAACATACAAACTAGTCAGCGTTATTGTTTACGTCATCAAGATGTTTCAGAAATGTGGTGAATAATCAAATTCTAACTGGGTGGATGAGGGAGGAGTGCTTAAGATTGGTAAGTATTGAGATATGAAAGACACACAGAAAAATAGCATGTTAATGAAAGTGCATACAGACGTTTGTCGAAAATAAATCATGTAATAGGTATGAAGAGTAAATAAAGGGTTGGTTAATAAAAGATGTTAATAATAAGCCATACGAAAATTCGGAAAAGCATTACTAACAAAGTAATAGAAGTTGGAATTATGCCCAAGGCACAAGGAGGGCGTGGAAAAGTTTCCTCTGTGTACATAAATCAGGGTTTTCTATCCGGATCACTAAGGCCTCGACAGTGCAAAGTATAAGGAAAATTAACATTCTACGGATGCTTCCTTCGACTTTGTAGATGACTGGGTGGGTACACAGTTGAAATTTGACTATTCACCACATTTCAGAAACATTTTGATGACGTAAACAATAACGCTGACTAGTTTGTATGCTTGTTTGACAATCCTAACCTACACACACAGACACGGACACACACACACACGAAATAACTTATTTTTCATTTTTTATTTTTGATTACAGCTTGATTCCATACTGTATCTTTGGTACAAGTATGGAATTTTCAGCATGGATATCGGTAGCCCAAGTTTTGCCCGTCGACCATGGATATCAGGTGTGCGTAGGCAGGGGATCGAACCTCGGAACATGTGCATGGTCGGCGGGAGTCGTAACCACTGTGCCACCGACGCACAAATGCGATTGTACAGCTAAGTGAATGAATTCGCCGAAAAGCGACTCTTCTCTGAACCTTTTGTTCTTGTATTCAAGTTAGTATGATGGACAACTCCATGAAATAATTCAGTTCGCCAAAATATGTAGGCGAAGTTTGGAAGTGTGGTGTAGCTATCTTTGCGGAATGATGTATAAGGACAAGGTGTTGTGCAGTTTCTCCTCTTCGAGATTTTAATGATCACGCCTACCCATCGAAGTTTGTCAGCACCCCATTCTATTCGGATTTACAGTGAACTGATCTCTCGCTTGCTCCATCAGTTCAACTCGAACTGAAATCGAAAACTGGAAATCCTCCTTCTGATTTTATTTCTTCAGTGAAACCAACTGATCGATGAGTATTATAAAATATTTCAAGGGTTTTATTTAGATCAACATATTCAAGGACAAGGATGCAAGTAACACTTATATATATATATATATATATATATATATATATATACGTACAAGCACAAACGTTGTATGGACGTATGAGTGCCTGCAACAGATGCCTAGCTGCAGTGTATGCAAATGATGCATTCTGTTCTCCAGGCCAGATGGATAAAAAGCTGAAGTCGAGATTGTAATAATATGCGGCGCGAATACTTCAAACTCCTGCACATACTTTCACTCATCCTGGTACCGTATAACACTAAGCTAAAGAAAGTAGCAGCAGGATACCTCGTTCGTCTGTTAACCTATGCATGGCTTTATGTATTTTGACACTGTACTGTATCTCAGAGAGAAAAAGTATTTCCCACAAACTGCAACCTAATAACAAACTGTGAACGGAGATCACAGAAAACAACAGATGAGTTATTGCGTCGTCGGAAGAAACGATATTTAGTATTAAATGCTCAATGTATGCATTCTTAAGTCGACTGAATTCCCCTGCATAACCGACCAATGTACTAAGCATAAGTTGTACAAATGACAACCTATTTTCTGACTTATTCTTCGGAATTCACCGGTCACTCTCTACCTCCAATAGTCTAATTTGATACTACTTATGCATTTTTGAACTAATTACTGCCAGTATAATAATTATTATTATTATGATAGGTTCTAATTGTTACGAATTTAAGATTTCAAAGGGATGTTGACACTATCAACAAGAGGTAGATTGTCACGAACAGTATTCGTAAGTGAATCAGTGATCGGCTTTACTTGTACATTCTTACAAATTCACAATAAGCCATTCTTGGCTGTGGTAGACTATAAACGGGACTTACCAATGGGGTAAGTTTGAAAACTGCCTGGCTTCGTATGTAACACTGAGGATATCCCCACATGAAATCGGTTTATTTGTAACAAATAAATAAGAGAGCCTTCAGTGGATTACGTGCTTTTAGTCTAACAGTATTAGTGAAGTGAACTGCAGTTTTGCCATTTCGAATATTCTTAGACAAACTGCTTATATCAGAGCATTTAACACAATCTGGGATTTAACACGGTAAATCTGGAGACGAAGCTCACCAAAGCAACACCAAAATGTAACGTTTGTTTTTAATTGCACTCCGCATAGATTGAATACCAATAAACCACTCAACAAAACGGAGGAGAGAGGACAGAATTCAGAATCTCATATTTGGTAGAATTGCATGTATTTCGCACTGACAAAAATAGTAGCAAAAAACAAAAATATCAATGACAACATCACCAGAAAGAATCAGTCACCGCTTAGGATTTTGTCAATTTGAATGTTGGCAGGTGGTTCGTGGTCGGCGTTGTCAGAGAAATAAGTAATGATTAAGAACCGAAATAAAATATATCCTAAGAATTGAAAAAGCCATTGACTTTTCTGTGCGAAAAAAGAAGATCGAACATCTCATGCAATTCTTTGAAGTTATCTTCGTTGTTCATTTACACTTTGACGAACGAACTCAGCATACGCTCGAAGGTCGTTGCGCAATGGGATGTTTGAGGCGAAGATAGAAGCAAATTCCAAAAGTTCATCTGGATTCAATCGTGTGAACTCCTCTGTTTTGAGTACTTCACTGAAACGGAAATGAAGATGGATGGTTAATATTCAGAAAATAGAGATTAGTAAAGCTTCTCTGAATGGAAAGTTAGATGCAGCAAACATGGTCTATTCTAAACACAAGATACTAGGTATATTATTTTCCTTCCCACAAATTATTGAAGTCTCCTGCTTAAATAAATGAAACTTGACTCAGCGAAAATATTTACTTGATGTTCAGCCTCTAGAGATGACATCTTAAATAAAGCAAATATTCTCCGCTGAACTGTCCTCAATTTTCTTACCTAATAGGTAGGAGGTGGTAACCGCGGAAAAATACTGCCACTCTTCGAAAGTCTTATTTAAGGGAACTTTTGGAATCACTTTATCGTCTAAATGACCCCTAGTGCTGTACGGATGATCTCACTACTCAAACTGATAAGGTTGTTCATGCTGACGGATAATAAGCCACCCAATCATTGTAGTGTGTAGGTTAGAAGTTTAAAATCAAATACGAATCAATTTAATGACAGAAACACTCATGAAAGTCAAATTTTGGGAAGATGTCACCTAGTAGGGCGATGAAATCTTCGCAAACTAACCATCCAGCTCAGAGAACAAAACCACATCAGAAATAAACGTACCTGACATTGCGTATTATGAAGCTTTCACAGGACCTACGTAAACTGGAACAGTTATAGAAAACAGCAAACTTTCGAATACCCAAACAATTACTGACATGAAGATGTGATTCGAGAAATTCACAGCATTTTTCACGAACAGCTCTCATCAGTAAAAAGTCTGCAGCTGGTAAGAGAGTTTGCACATTGTCTTCTGTCACAATGATTTCTAAAATAACGTAAGACAAAGGACCACATAGACGCATGAAAATTTGAAATTAAAGAGCCTAAGAGATATGAGTACCTCACGTATGCCATGTGATCAAATATTTTACCCTGAACAATAATTATCTTTAAGTAATTTATATGATACTTTAGGGAGCATAAATACGACTGTCAGTGTAGATGTCACCACAAAGCAATAAAGCATTCCACTGGAAATCACACTTCAGTCGAGTCGCACACTAGGACGAAACATCTGTCCAGTGCTACCTGCTTTTCACAACTGGTGGTGGTTTGTGAAGAAATCTGCATAAAAATTAACTAAGTCTGCAAACACTCAACGTTTAAAAGCGAATAGAACATACATGAGGTAAGACATCTTGATGAGTCAGTGGTAGTGCCTTTGAGAATCCAGTCTCACCCTTCCAAAAATCACCAGTTCGTTCAGCATTGTAAATAATCATGTTTACAGAGTAGATTAAGTTAGGAGTCTTATTGATTGTCTAAAAACAACGGTAGTTGTTTTCTGTCAGAATATATTGCTGTTTATTGCAGTGGAATTCACAATCGAAAGACTCGATAATATATAACTTTACATTAACAATATACACTAATCGTGAACATACCACTAGTATACATATATTCAACTAGTTGAGTAAGTGTGGTAGCTTCAATTCCATGAAGCTCGATGTGTTTTGAACGCGATTCCCTCATTGGGCACCGAAACATGGCTTCGAAGTATGGTGAATGGGCTGCCAGGATGAATCTGTGGCGTGTATTTCTTCTGAGTTTGCTATTAAAACGACATCATAACCCCAGTGCTGACTGATGAAAAGAAAACGAACCATACAAGTCATATTAGCAGGGTGATACATAAACTCAATTAACTATTACTTCGGAAATTGAAATCTGTTTATAAATATTATAAACGGTACACATTAGACATAATAATGTAAACACTTACTCAATGCGCTTAACCCTCATGTCTCTCTTATTCAACGGTTTAACATCAAGCAGAAAATAACAAGACAATACTAATATGAACGCAACACTAACCTTCAAAACGTCAAACAATAGCATACAAAAAATACTCTGAAACACAGAAAACATACCAACGAAGTTCATTTACTCCAGCAGATATTCTGTGAACAAAATCATCAGAATTAGATGTGGAAGAACGATTCTGCTGGACATTTTGAGCAGGTTCAGCTTCGCCATTCTGGAAATACAATAAGTACAATACAATAATCCCATTAATTGAGAATCAATGAAGACAATTCTACACTTGAATAAGCTACAAGAGTTGACATAATGGGTGGACACAGATGTGGAATATGGCAGTAGATGGTAAGATGGTGTTTTGCAGAAAAGCTCATTGGGAATGGTGTATTTCAGATAGTACCAGGATCATTTCTCCACCCCAGTAATAAATAGGAGAGATACTTCCTTGTTTCAATTTTATAAGAAACATGAAATCATTCTTCAATTGTGTCATGTTATACCCCATAATGTTCGTAAATAATTAGTCCACACTCTAAGGAAATTGACTGAAGCAATTAATACAGCCTATAGTTATTTAACTCACACGATCCATAACGAAATGAAAAATGACTAAACAGAAAGTAGTAGTAATATTTGAAACAATTAAGTGAGTACTAATCATGCAGCCTGCATGATAATTGGTCAAAATCGCGCAGTCATAGGTGATTACTAATCATGCAAACTGCATGATAATTGGTCGAAATCGCGCAGTCATATGTGATTAGTAATCAGGCAGATTACCCTATTTTCCAGTCTCTGTCATTATTTGTAGTAAAGTTGAAGCACTATTAGAATTCAAAAACTGAAAATTAATAAAAATTGCGTGAAGAAATAAAATCACCCATGTCTTCATATACTGATCGATACGTATAAAAAAACCGTGCTATCAATGGAGAGCGCAATCGACTTCATCACAGTGTGAATTATTCCTTATAGGGGAATAGCTAGCTGGCTTCTTGATTATTAGGCGATTTTTCATCTTGAGCCAACGGATGACTTGGTATTGCAGACTTAAATCAGATTCCCTCATGTGATACAGGCATAGTAAATCCTGTTGAAGTGAATTATCAAGGGAAGCGGAAGAGAATGCCTTTCCTAGAAAACTTTACCCTAACATCTGCGAAAAAATGTCTCTTAAATAAATAATCAACCTAAATGAAAAAATATACTACACAACACCGCTGGTCAAGTAAAAATATATATTGGTCATTACATTCGAATGCCGAGACAGACGACAAGCATAGACAATCTGTGAAGTGGCAAGCAGGCAGAACATTGAACTTCTTCAGAGATTGCAGTAATCAAGGAAAAGTGCTAACACCATATATCATTGGTCATCACAGACATTTATTAAGGATTCCTCAAGCCACTTAGTAAATATTAATAATTATTTCGCCTACTGAGAATTTCAACTTTATAAAAACATAAAGTTGGAAACCGTTTCCAGACAACCGATAACAGAGAAGTATTGAATTGATAAAATAGGGTTACGACACCGTTATTCAGTGACGGATGAATCATCCTCCACTGAGTCGCAAAATCACACAGAATCTGTGACTGAATGCACACCTAAAGCTGTCATGTAAGTAAGGCTTTCACGAAACTTGTTTGTTTTTGATTCATGTACTCATTCAAAAAACTCAAAAAGAATTGACTGCTTTAAATACATTCGCAAACACTGAGTGTTTTCGCGGAAAAAACAAACAGGGGATGAATAGTCAGTAAACATAATCATGTACTCAAAACATTGTCAAAACAACGAAAATTTATTTGTAACTGAAAGACTGAATGGATAGAGAAATGTACGATGAACTTACCACAATTTATCCACAAATTTGAAATGCTTTCACTTTTCCCAATAAAAACACAGATGCTTCATAGCACATCAGTTGACTCATTGGTTGCCCATAGATCGCTCATTCACATAATACTCATGTCTTCACCCACACATTTACTTGCTGCACCTGAGACTGACGAGGCACAGGACTCAACAATCAACGCAATAATCGACCTGCCTCTACCTCCACTTGGTTTCACTGAGCCGTGGATTTGATTCGCCATTATTGAACCCCTTTTTTCACAATTTTTACTGATCTCAAGCCCCTTAGCTATGCTCTCACTACTTCACTGGAAAAATACTCTCCCAGAGAAGCCAGAAAGTAGGACTATATCTCCCAATTTTCAACCGACATACAATACATCAAAGGGGACGCAAATGTCGTAGCTGATTCTCTTTCAAGAGGTGACATAAACCAGCTCGAAACTTCAGTAGACATCAATCAGACGACGCAGAACTCCTAACTTGTCGCGGAAACTCTTGCTTACAGTTCAGGGACGTACCTATTCCCATATCAGATGCAACTGTAGTTTGCGATGTATCTACCGGTACTAACCGTCCAGTGTTCCTCCCAGATGCCGAAAAGCGTTATTTGAACACTTACATTTGCATTCTCACCCTGGAGTACGTGCCACGGTCAGACTTATCAGCGAACGCCTCGTGTGGCCTAGAATAAACTCTAACATTCGGAGATGGGCACGGGAATGTCTCCAATACCAATGCTTCAAAGTACATCGCCACATTGTTACAACTCCGAAGACGTTTGATTTACCGGACAAGAGATTTCAGCATGTTCATATGGACATTGTAGGACGATTACCAACGTCAAGAGGATATACACATATCCTGACAGCCATCGATAGATTTACTCGTTGGGCTATTGCATGCCCCCTAAACCATATATCTGCGGAAAATGTTGCTTTGGTTTTTCTCGACTGTCAGGTGTCAAATTACGGTGTACCAGCTACTATTACATCCGACCGAGGTGCTCAATTCCAACCGACACTGTTTTGTGAACTAACGAGATTATTGGGAGTGAAACATATCTCCACAACAGCCTATCATCTGACAGCGAATGGTCTTGTGGAAAGATTCCACAGAGAGCTGAAAAGCTCCCTCATTGCACAGAATGATACATCTAAGTGGAGTGAATACTTACCTTTTATTTTACTCGGTATCCGATCTACTATTAAAGAAGATTTAGGATGTACACCGGCACAACTCGTTTATGGCACCAACCTAACTTTGCCTAGACAGCTAGTTCCCTCAGCCGATTCGACGGATGTGAAGATTGCTGACTTCACCAACCGAATAACTAGACAAATGCTCCAACTTCAACCAACAGCACCTCGACAGTCGCTCGGGCGAGATCAGATCAACAAACGCCTGGAAACTTGCAAATTCGTCTTCATTCGAGTCGACACCACCAGAAAGGGATTTCAACCCTCATACCAAGGTCCCTTCCAAGTCATTAAACTTTCAGACATACACTTTACAGTGAAAAAGATGGAAAACGGGAGTTTGTTTCCATTGATCGAATCAAACCGGCCTACACAGACAGCGACTTTGAAGCTACATCAACAACTGCACAACCAAATAGTTAGACAGTTGATTCCACTCCAATGGCATCAATTCTTATCTTCAGTTTGAAGTAAGATATTAAAATCATCGTATTTTCAACACCAATTCTTATCTATCCTCCACATCAAACACGTAGTAGTCGGCAGATCAGTAAATCGGCTAGCTACGTTCATTTTGTGGACTGATAAAAAAAATTACATTTTATATCGTTTAGACATTATTATCATGACAATTACTATTCCTTAGTACACTTTGATGTCACTGTTACTATAAAAGATTACTATCACTATTATTTATTTATTTATTTGTATGTACCTCAGCTACAAAACAAGTACTGTTTTTTTTTCAGAAACGATCAATTTTCAATCTATTTTTTACCCTCTTTAATTACTGTGTACATAGATATCTTTGTTTATACATTAAAAATCTTTGTTCATGGTTTGTGCAAAGAGAAACCAACCCCATTTAATTGACATGAACTTCTATTTCAATTTTTGTTGTTGAACTATTTGTAAATACGTTCAAACTTTTTGATGTGGTTTTGTTCTCTGAGCTGGATGGTTAGTTTGCGAAGCTTTCATCGCCCTACTGGGTGACATCTTCAGCGCATACTTCAAATTGAAGTATGAAAGCTTCGCAAACTAACCATCCAGCTCAGAGACCAAAACCACATCAAAATTATCCACCTGAGCTACAAATCTTCTCTATCATATCTAAATCTTACGAGCGGGACACGTTCAAACTTTACACGATCCAAATACCTTTTCGCGTACACGCATGTAATTATGTATCCTTATTTTTATCCTAGAAATGGTTATTAATATTATTATTTACTTCAATAACAGTGAAAGTCTGCGGTAGACTTTCCGGACCTCTAGGGGGGAGCCGTATGGAGTACGTACCAATATGACTGCACACTTTTTGTTAGATGTTGAAAATAGTGACATTGTGCATGACTCTTGTTTAAAACGATTCATGTTTAAATACATATAACTTCCGAGTACAATTTTAAGTGCAGTATACTGTTGGTAGATTCACCTTCTCACCGGTCATTACTGTCTACTTGCTCCACTCATACCGTGTTGTATACTTTGGATTTATTGCAGGAACCTATTATCCTTATCCAAAGACAATTCTACAACCGGCACACAGCTTCTACTAATAGACATGATTCCAACAGTGGATCATATTAATAATTTGTAGCAGTGGCCTTTAACAGTATATCCAAGTAACCTTTTAATTAATATAACTCATTACTGCATTTTTGATAATATATTGTTACACTTTCATCTCATTGACTTGGATTTTTATTCCCATATTTGTTATGTTACTGAGCTCCTTAGGCAGTCCCCTTACGACGTAGCCGTCGGTGCAGTTTCTCAAAAGTTTTCTGCTGGAAAATGGCAATCTCTCTCCTTTTTATCCAAACGTCTAGACGGTACCCCATCAAGATATAGCGCATTCCATAGAGAAATACTATCAGTCTTTCTTGCTTTTAAACATTTTCTTCATATGTTTGAAGGAATACCGCTTACCATCTGCACAGACCACAAACCTTTAACTAAAGCGAAGTACGATAAATAATCACCTATATAGCTCCGGCACCTCGAGGTCATTTCTCAGTTTACTTCAGATTTTAGATTCGTCGAAGGACATAAAAACGAGGTAGCAGATGCCTTATCCCGCATCCATATAAATACCTTAGAAAAAGATCAGTTTGATCCTAAAAGGATGGCTAGACTGCAAACTATGGAAGAGGA